AAACAAAACAACCAGTCACCCATCTAAACATATTTGCTGCATGCGATTGTTTATAGCAAAAAGGAGTTACAAATAAAGGTAACAAATCAATTCTACAATTACCACACGTATCTAAATAATGTAAAACAATATATCAAGCAAATGCTATTATGTTGTGTTGTTGTTTTTATTTTTATTTTTTTCTCACAATTTTTATGTAAGTTAAAAAAAAAATCCCTTTCTCTCCTTATTTCATTTTTAAAAGTTAGAAAGTAAAGATCCCTTTTAAAACCTGACGGTTTATGGGGCAAGTGAAGTAGAGTTCACCTGTTTCTGTGACCTCGGAATATGAAGAGATAGTGTGGTCAGCACTATGCCCAGCCGCCTTTACTTTCCCCAACGTGAGTTAGGTACCCATCAAAGCTGGGTGGACAGGGACGGTCTACTGAATTCAACCCGGATTCGAACTCCGTCCCCATTTCAGTTTTAACTAGACCATAATAACCACGAAGCACTACACTTTTCTTAATTAAAACTTAAATACAGCGACATACAGCGACATACAGCGACATACAGCGACATACAGCGACATACAGCTACATACAGCGACATACAGCGACATACAGCTACATACAGCGACCCATCCAATGCAAAACTTACACTACAACAGATTATCAAATCCAAACAGCATAACACGCAAGTCTGATGACAGACTGATGTATTCTTACATCTCTCGCTATGTCATCAAACTAACAAACATACACAACCCTATACACTTTCTGACAGACGGGTGAGGCATTACAACTAGCTGTATGATCAAATAACAAACATACACAAACGTACAAACTTACTGACAGACGGGTGAGGCATTACAACTAGCTGTATGATCAAACTAACAAACATACACAAACCTATACACTTTCTGACATACGGATGAGGCATTACACCTAGCTGTATGATCAAACTAACAAACATACACAAACCTATACACTTTCTGACAGACGGATGAGGCCTTAAAACTAGCTGTATGATCTAACAAGCAAACATACACAAACATACACAAACCTATACACTTTCTGACAGACGGGTGAGGCCTTACAACTAGCTGTATGATCTAACAAACAAACATACACAAACATACACAAACCTATACACTTTCTGACAGACGGATGAGGCCTTACAACTAGCTGTATGATCAAACTAACGAACACACACCTGACGTTCAATTAACAACAGGTGTCTTACCCACAGTGACCAAGTGAAGATCAATATTTTATGCATGAGAAGTGAAACTGTATTTTTATTATGTTAGCATCACTGCGCTTTTACCCATTCGAAAAGAAACCCACCACCTTTGAACTAGAATTCCATGGTGCAAGTGAAGTAGAGTTCCCCTGTGATCCCTGGATTTAAAGGGATAGTGTGGACCGCGCTAAGACCAGCAGCCTTTACTTTCTCTGACGTGTGTTAGGTGCCCATTAGACCTAACGACAACGCAAGTGTTAAGTGTAACCCCAGCCATAACCCTAAACTAGAACAAACAATAACCCCAAGTGGTGCCTAGATTTCCCATACAAACAATAACCCTTAATGGTGCCTAGATTTCCCATAAAACAATAACCCTAAGTGGTGCCTAGATTGCCCATGCTAGACCTCACACAGACAATTAAAAACAACTGTAGACAAAAAAAAAAACAACCTATACATCATTCTGTATTATTCAGTTTTACATCAGAACTAGTCGCCAGAAGTTTAGTTCATGTTAGTGGCTCTTTAAAAACTTGGAAAATGTATAAAATTGTAACTTTTGGCTCTCCCGTCTCAAAGGTTGCCGACCCCCTACCATAACTAAATATAAAAAGAATATCCTCCACCTTACCCTAGAGTCTAGGGGTCGGCAACCTGCGGCTCGCGAGCCGCATGCGGCTCTTTTGATATCAAGATGCGGCTCTCCAGCTCATTGAACAAATACTAATAATCTTAATAAAAAAATAAAATATTTGAACTTAAAGAATGTTAGTGGCTCTTTAAAAGCAGGGAAATTTTGAAAATTGTAACTTTTGGCTCTTCCGCTTCAAAAGGTTGCCGACCCCTGCCCTAGACCTAGCCAATATTAATCCATTTTTCAAATAAAAATATGTTATTTTTTTTTTTTTTTTTTTTTTTGGAGTAGGTTACAAAAAAATCAGTTTTGAAATAAGCACCTTATTTTAGATCTCTAATCTTTAAACTTTCCGGTTTTAAATACGTTAATGTTTCCAACTAAAACTATAATAAAATGAACAAATATATTGTCTAGTAAATATGACAATTATACAATCTGACTACAAAAATTGTAATATTTATGTATATTTAAATAATAAAAAAAATTTATATATTACTAACGTAGAGTTTCAAAGTATTTTAAACTACTTTAAGAAACATATGTATTAATAGCCTCCCTTTGTTAGATTCAATTTTAATAAATGGTAAATAACACACCAAAGTAATATTTAACAGTATGCGTTATTTTTCCCATTAAATGTGTTTAATCGTATTTGACCATAAAATAATAATAACCTTATTGATTTATTATTATAAAAAATTATATGTAAATATACATTTAAAACTAAATATAATGTTGATAGGTGTGTTTTTTTGTTCCACAAATTATACAAAGATTATTCCCCTTTACTTTTTTTAGCGGGTAGGGCGATAACAAAATAAAATGTTAATGACAGAATGGATTTTATATCATCATCTTTTTCACTGATTTGTGTCATTGTCATATATAGTTTTAATTATGTAATAGGTTAAATGAAAACAATTTCTTTTTTAATTACTATTTAAAGGGCGTGTTACAAACTAACATAATTGTTTAATTGTGTTAATCCATTTCGAATAAATGAAGTTAAAAAACTTGAGCGACGAGAATGAATAATGGAGATCATAGGCAATAAAACGTTAGCAACATAAATAACATGAATAGAACTGGTTGGTTTCAAATGTCGCCATAAAAAGAGTTGTCAAACGCTTTAAAACAATTACTTCACGCCTTAAGTCAGTTTGATCTTTTAATTTTGGATACATTATGCTATGGATTATAATAAATTATAATAATTAGATTACAAATTTATTATACCCATAAAATAGAAAGAGCTTCTAGCGGATTAAAACGTTGTTAAAAAGTTTTTGCCTGTTATGTTTCTCATTTTTATATACATTAAAACTTGAAGGACGAAGTTCAGTCAAAGATGCGTAGCTTTAAAAAAAAATGAAATACATCCTGAAAAAAAAGATATTTGAATACATAAACACATGCTTATACACATACTTACAATTATATATATTGAATATATATATATATATATATATATATATATATATATATATATATATATATATATATATATATATAATTTCTTTGGGGGGGGGGAGGTGACACCATTATATATATATATATATATATATATATATATATATATATATATATATATATATATATATATATATATATATATATATAATTTCTTTCGGGGGGGGGGGGGGGGGTCGCACCGGGTGACACCTGACCTCGCCACGCCACTGACTCTATTTCATCTGCAACATGACCGCCTTGTTTGAAAGGATACATTTAATTAAATAACCTCACAAGATCTGCTAGATTAATTGTATTTGACAGTAGGTTCATTATTTTGTCAGTTATTGTCATAATTTGTGACCGGGTAATGAAAGTCGCTGTCATAGTATCAGTGATATGTCAGTCGCTGTCAAAGTGTCAGTGATATGTCTGTGACCGTCTGTTGTTGTCAGTGTGTATTTCAAATTCCTGCCAAATTATTGCCAGCCGCTAAAATTACGTTTAGTAACTGTTCATTCCTACAGATATGTTTTACAACGCAACAAAGACAGTAGAAAAACAGTTTTTAAAAGTATAGAGTTACTTCCCTTACATGTAGCGTCCCCCCTGATTATGTTTTTGTTGTGTGCTCGAACGTCAGGTATTTTCTTTTTGTTTATAGTTGTAGCCCTTGGTTGAGTGTGTTTACACGGAGAGAGAGAGTGTGTGTTCACGTGAGGATTGTCAGTTGACGGGTAACAGAGCGTGTGCAAAGGTGTGTGGCAGGTGGTTGGCGTGTGGTTTTGGAAGTCGACGTGGGCGGGTGTGGTAAGTATTGTGTATCATAATTTGTGTCGTAAACCTGTTATTATTTACGTGCCGACCCGCCGCGTAGCTTACGCTGCTACTTAGTTGACGGGTGAAGACTTCCTGAATGACACAATTGTCCAAATGGGGTGGGTGGGTACACACTGTTGCGCATGCCTGGAGAGCGAGGGAGGGGGGAGGGAGGGAGGAGAGTTAGAGAGTCGGCGTGCGTGCGTGGTCTCCCGCATAGTTGGGCGACGTAGAGAATCATATATATTTATATATATATATATATATATATATATATATATATATATATATATATATATATATATATATGTATGTACATATATATATATATATATATATATATATATATATATATATATATGTATATGTATATATATATATATATATATATATATATATATATATATATATATATATATATATATATATATATATATATATTTTACTGTTGTATTATTTACGTATATATCTTAAACTTCTTAGTATTATTTCAGTATCATCATCAGTGTTATCTAGTCTGCTGTATCGCGATATAAGTTGTGTTGCCCTTGAATACCCCTAGACAGAAGAACCCAACAGAAAACCTGTTTTCCAGCTATTTAATAGAATAAACAACACTTCTCCATCTGAAGAGTCAAATTTCCTAGTTATCCAGTTTCATGGGATTTATTGAATTTAAAATGAAGTATCTCAAACGTAAATATCTAATTTTGGTAACCAGTTTAGTCTAACAGACACTTAATTAGTTTAATAATTAGTTTAACTCATTAGCAATGTTAATCAATTTAATTTATTAGCAAATATAATTTATTTAACATATATTCTTATTTAACAGTTTAACTTTTTACCAGATTTAATGTTTTTAATCTATTAATATATACAACGTATTAAAAAAGGAATTATTGAATCGTGAAGAAATTAACATATTTTGTCTGATACTAGATTAAACTCGAAAGCTTCATGGTCTTGCTCAGTGTTTTTGGTCTCTGTTTCCTGAATCGTATCTGGCAAGTTCTGGTTGTGTGTTTCCGGTAGAGGGAACAGCGTTAGGGCAGCTATGAACGAACATACGCCGAATATGATAATAGCATCGACGTTCCATAGGGCTTTAGTCTGTAAAAAAATTCTGAGCTTCAGAAAACAAAGACACAAATTCCAGTCTATAAATTTAACTAAACCAACAGTTTTAGAAAATTCTAGAATTATGGTAGCTTTGTACTGATCAATTACATTAAAAGAACTTTCCAGATTTACTGCTAGTATCTCCACTCTAACTCTAACACTTGTCATACTCTACACCTGACCTGAATTTATCCCTAACCCTAACCTTATGTTGTTGTTTACAAACGACGTTATGATTTTAGACCGCTTGTCTCAGAGGCGTAGCGACCCTTCCCGGCGCCGGGGGACAAACTTTCCGATTTGCACCCCCCCCCCCTCAAGATTTCGATTTGTACCCCCCCTCAAACTTTCGATTTGCATCCCCCCCCCCCTCAAGATTTCGATTTGCACTCCCCCCTCAAACTTTCGATTTGCACCCCCCCCCCCCCTTCGAGATTTCGATTTGCACCCCCCCTCCTCAAACTTTCAATTTGCACCCCCCTCAACCTTTCAATTTATTTTTCCTACCCATTTTGGCGCCCCCTAAGGTCGGCGCCCGGGGACATATGCTCCCCCCGCCCCCCCCCCCCCTCGCTACGCTACTGTCTTTGTCTTACCCTCTTCCCAAAAGATCATTTCCCTTAAAATGTAAGACCCCTAAAATGACTTCACACTTCAACAAACCTTAGCACCTCCCCCCCACCCCCACACACACTGCCAAATTGTTTCTCCTTTTACTTTCTCGTATATACGATGTATATTGGAAATATTGTAGTCGTGCAAAACGAAAATTCGAGATTTTCAGAAATCTCGACGTGTTACTCCTTCCTGGGTCGGAAAAACATAGTTTTGCAATTTTGTCTGTATGTCTGTGTGTGTTGTGTGAATGTGTGTCTGTAAACACGATAACTTGAGTACCGTTATAGCTATGTTGATGAAATGTCATATATAAGTATTATATGAAATTTGTTTCAACTTTTCAGCAATTTCCGGTAATCGGAAGTGGAACTATTTCTACTATTGGTTTTTTAAAAAGCCTATAACTTGAGTACTGTTTTAGATAGATAAATAAAATTTCACATATAAGTAACAGATCTAATTATCTGCATTTTTTGTAAAATTTTGAGTAAATTCCATAGTACTTTACGTTATTTACAATTTCTCAAAGAGCGCATATGAATTTATGAAGTACTAATATTTCGCGCTATTATACATATATTGTTTGCTGATCACTTGGTACTTGGTGCGCAATTCTTTTTTTTTCTACGAGATTCTATTCTATTTTTAAAAGTTTAAATAATTAAAAATGGATTTAAAATCATTTGTATATCCCCAGTTGCCATCCCCATAGTATTATTTAAAAATATTCGAGAAAGTTTAGGGGAGATCACTCTCGCTTTATTAAATACCACCCACACTTACCCAGTGGTTTATCTGTGGGGCCACAATACCACCCACACTTACCCAGTGGTTTATCTGTTGGGCCACAATACCACCCACACTTACCCAGTGGTTTATCTGTGGGGCCACAATACCACCAACACTTACCCAGTGGTTTATCTGTGGGGCCACAATACCACCCACACTTACCCAGTGGTTTATCTGTGGGGCCACAATACCACCCACACTTACCCAGTGGTTTATATGTGGGGCCACAATACCACCCACACTTACCCAGTGGTTTATCTGTGGGGCCACAATATCACCCACACTTACCCAGTGGTTTATCTGTGGGGCCACAATACCACCCACACTTACCCAGTGGTTTATCTGTTGGGTCACAATACCATCACACTTACCCAGTGGTTTATCTGTGGGGCCACAATACCACCAACACTTACCCAGTGGTTTATCTGTGGGGCCACAATACCACCCACACTTACCCAGTGGTTTATCTGTGGGGCCACAATACCACCCACACTTACCCAGTGGTTTATCTGTGGGGCCACAATACCACCCACACTTACCCAGTGGTTTATCTGTGGGGCCACAATACCACCCACACTTACCCAGTGGTTTATCTGTGGGGCCACAATACCACCCACACTTACCCAGTGGTTTATCTGTGGGGCCACAATACCACCCACACTTACCCAGTGGTTTATCTGTGGGGCCACAATACCACCCACACTTACCCAGTGGTTTATCTGTGGGGCCACAATACCACCCACACTTACCCAGTGGTTTATCTGTGGGGCCACAATACCACCCACACTTACCCAGTGGTTTATCTGTGGGGCCACAATACCACCCACACTTACCCAGTGGTTTATCTGTGGAGCCACAATACCACCCACACTTACCCAGTGGTTTATCTGTGGGGCCACAATACCACCCACACTTACCCAGTGGTTTATCTGTGGGGCCACAATACCACCCACACTTACCCAGTGGTTTATCTGTGGGGCCACAATACCACCCACACTTACCCAGTGGTTTATCTGTGGGGCCACAATACCACCCACACTTACCCAGTGGTTTATCTGTGGGGCCACAATACCACCAACACTTACCCAGTGGTTTATCTGTGGGGCCAAAATACCACCCACACTTACCCAGTGGTTTATCTGTGGGGCCACAATACCACCCACACTTACCCAGTGGTTTATCTGTGGGGCCACAATACCACCCACACTTATCCAGTGGTTTATCTGTGGGGCCACAATACCACCAACACTTACCCAGTGGTTTATCTGTGGGGCCACAATACCACCCACACTTACCCAGTGGTTTATCTGTGGGGCCACAATACCACCCACACTTACCCAGTGGTTTATCTGTGGGGCCACAATACCACCCACACTTACCCAGTGGTTTATCTGTGGGGCCACAATACCACCCACACTTACCCAGTGGTTTATCTGTGGGGCCACAATACCACCCACACTTACCCAGTGGTTTATCTGTGGGGCCACAATACCACCACACTTACCCAGTGGTTTATCTGTGGGGCCACAATACCACCAACACTTACCCAGTGGTTTATCTGTGGGGCCACAATACCACCCACACTTACCCAGTGGTTTATCTGTGGGGCTACAATACCACCCACACTTACCCAGTGGTTTATCTGTGGGGCCACAATACCACCACACTTACCCAGTGGTTTATCTGTGGGGCCACAATACCACCCACACTTACCCAGTGGTTTATCTGTGGGGCCACAATACCACCCACACTTACCCAGTGGTTTATCTGTGGGGCCACAATACCACCTACACGAGCCCAGAAGCAGCAGGCGCCCATGCCAATGTTTCTGTGGAGTAAAAAAAAAAAGAAGACGCATACCTGCTATAGACAACAGCAATAATAAAATACAAAATACTAGTTAAATAAAGTGGAAGTTTGTAAAGTGTATAGACAAGTCATTATTCCATTTGAACGAGATTGTCTAATGAAACGATAGAAGATATAATTTTTTTTAGAAACATCGGCGAAGTGGAGTGTCTGTCCCCTCACTTTACCATAAGAACGTCCAAACTTAAATTTATGTAAATTATTAAAGTGTTATGCCTTTAGTGATTTATGTTATCAGAGATCTGATGTTTTAAAATCAAAGCCATCCGATGTTCCCATAGCCCAGTCCATTGGATGTTCTCATAGCCCATTTCATTAGATCTTTTGTATAGTTGTATACCTAGTGTTCGCCTAATAAAGAATCCCATAATCACCCAGTCAATGGAGAAGGCAGCGAGCCACACGAACGTTCTAACTTCATTGATTTTTACTTCTAAAACTCCACTCACACATCTAACCGTATCAGACACATTTTGAACCACATTGCCAACTCAAAAAAAAAAAACAACTAGTTTTATCAACTCTCCAACATTTGTCTTACTGAAGACATCATTGTCAGATTTTAAATAATTTAACGTTAAGATGAAGTCTTTAAAGAAATAAGAAGGTTGTATTGTCCATGATAAAATTATTTCTTCTATCGAATTACACTATTGGAAACATTGAACTAACTAAAAACGAACACTGTTTGAAAGTCCCAAGCTATTTTTATCTACTTCCTACCTCATGACTGTGGGATAGATCTCTGACGTGTACACAAATATAATGGCAAACTGGCAACTCGCGGCACACCGACCCGCCACGGCCAGGGCAGCTATTAGATAGCTGTAGCCTGAAGATGGATACAACACATATTTATAAAGTCATTATAATTATATTTTAAATGCTTTTATTTTAAAGATAATAAAATAAAATTGCTTTCATAAGTAGATGAATTGGTCGCTAAAAAGTGCATGAGATTTCAAGAGCAGACAATGCTTTTTTGATAAAAAAATTAGATATGTGTGCAGTGTCTTCAAAGACAAATATTTTAGCTGGAGAGGCTGTAACAAACCGCTGCTTTAAAAGTTGGTCAATTTAAAGTTACAAATTTGGCCACAAACTGCAGGACGGAAGGAAAGACAAATAATTTTTTAAATATCCTGGTCTGTTACAAAATGAAATTTTGTAATCTGATATGTTTTCGTTTGCTTGGAAGCGTAATGCTGTAAGTTGGCTGTACATTTTAATGTAAATATATTTTTAGTGCAGTTTTTATCCTATACAAATCCATGTCCGTACCAGATAAATAATCATTCATAAATCCGGCTGCAATACAAGTCACAGCTGCTATTATCAGGGTTGCCAGGAGGGGTTTTTTACGACCAAATCTGAAATACAGACAATTACAGTAATTATACAGTTTCATGCGATCATTAAATGAATTCAAAGCTGCAGATTTGAAATTATATATTTTAAAAAATTAAACAAAAGCAAAGACACAGCAATTTAGATAAAAGTATAAAGTACTTGACGGTTAGAATAGAGTTTATTTTTTAACTAAAAACTTTTAAATGACCATCAGAAATTGAAGGCAGCTTACATTTTCATCATGGGCAAACTCAGCGCATACGCTGACGTCTCGAACACACCTCCGATACAGAAGAGCAGATAGGGGTTGCCATGGAGACTGGATAGTTTGAAAGTGAGGCCGTAGTAGCAGGTTGATATCACTAGCCTGTGGACAACGACATTTTGGTTTACTGAGGTGAAAATTGCCTACATCGTGCATCAAAACTTCCTTTTGAACTTAATTAACTAACCTTTTTATTAAAGGATACATTAAAGCTCTAGACTTTAACCCGAAAGTTTCGAGTTTAAATACGGGTTCTAGTCAGTAGAACGTCCCTGAGTCCACCCAGTTCTAATGGGTACCTAACTCACGTTAGGGAAAGTAAAGGCAGCTGGGCACAATGCTAACCACACTATCCCTTCATATGCCGAGGTCACAAAAAACAGATGGACTCTACTTCACTTGCCCCTTGGACCGTCAGGTTCGAAAAGGGAACTTTATTTTAAGGGGTTTTTCATGTTGAGGGACAATTCGTTTTTCTCCATGGTAGGCACACAACCATCACCAATTTAAAAACATCTGGCATAGCAAACCAACAACAATAACATACTAAACGTGAAATTCACCCCATCCCTCCAAATCCAACGCAAAAAAAAAAAAAACCGACAAACTAACAAGCTAATCACTAAGCACAACAAATTATTCACCAACCAAATGTAGAAGAGAATGAGAGATCTTTGTCTCATTTGTCCATTGCGGATCAAGTCAGTCAAATTACACTGTCTGATTGGTCCAGCTGTTGATTTGTTCGTCTCCCTTTTGATTATCTCCCATTCTTTATCAGGGACTGGGATCTGTTCCATTGTGAAAGGAACAGTGGTAAGGGGAGAGAATAAAGAATTGGTTAAACTACTTTATAGGAAACTATCTTTTCATGTATAGTATTGTGTTGGCATATATTATTGATCTGATTTGTTAAGCTGAGGTTATAAAAGTGTAAAAGTTAAGCGTGGAAGAATGGACAGTGGATTGTTGTGTACATGTGTGGACGATGGGAGGTAACAATTATAATTGTGTGTGGATACAGACAAGGGAGACAACTACAATAGTTGTGCAGGAGTGTGTCCAAGGGAGACAATACCTTGTTGAATTTGCAGACTCTCTTGATGACGCTGAAAGCTTTCTTTGTTTTTCTTTTCATGATGAGCCATCGAATAGATTCAGGAACGATCCTTGAAGTATTGAGTTTTAATTAAGCCCAAACAATCCAGTAAGATACAACTACAGCCCAACAAAAAAACGAGAAACAACAGCTTAACAACCCACCAATATACAACATTGACTAACAACACACTAAAATACATCATTAACCAACAACCCACTAAGATAAACATTGACCAACAAGCCACCAAGATACAAAACTGACCAACTACCACAAAGATCCATCAGCCCAACAACCCACCAACATACAACAGCCCCAACAACCCACCAATATACGACATTGAACAACAATCCAATGAGATACAACATTGACCTAACAACCCACCAAGATACAAAAATATCCCAACAACCCACCAACATACAACAATAACCCAACAACCCACCAAGGATGTGCCAGTGCTGTGACCCCCACTACACTGATCCCAATCTGCAGATGTCGCCAGTTCCTCAACAGATACGCCAGACCGGCGAGGACGATGACGCTGGAACCAAAGAAACATTCCGTCACGACTCCAGCAAACGGTCGATGTTTGGCCACATACAGCTCAATCACCAGCGTGTACGCGGACGTTTGGAGGCCCTGAAATCAGTTTAAATATTCATATATAATTGTAGCAATACCGTAGATACATAGTAGAAATTAACTTTCTAAAGAAATGGTGGAGCGGCAGAGCGCATGGTTGCAGATGTGAAAGTATAGAGTTTTTAAACAACACAGGCTCCTAATATTTCTTTAAGTATATGCTACGTTGGTTTTCTCTTTTTTCTTTTTTTTTTTTATTTTCTTGAAAAAAAACTACTATGCTAAAAAAATTGTGTTTTGGTTCTTTAAAATTTGAAAAGCATCCACAATTCTATTTTAAAATATTCAATTCTTAAATCTCAAAACGCATAAAATTACACATACATTAAAGATTTTACAGTTAAGAAATATTTTCATTTCCCTGTAGGTTGAACTATCTCCATCAAAAATCATTGTGTTAACTGCATCATGATTAATTCAATGACGTGCACCATAAGCTATTGTATTACCTACATCATCAGCTATTGTATTACCTACATCATCAGCCATTGTATTACCTGAATCATTAGCAATTGTATTACCTACATCATCAGCCATTGTATTACCTGAATCATTAGCAATTGTATTAGCTACATCATCAGCCATTGTATTACCTGAATCATTAGCAATTGTATTATCTACATCATCAGCCATTGTATTACCTGAATCATTAGCAATTGTATTATCTACATCATCAGCCATTGTATTACCTGAATCATTAGCAATTGTATTACCTACATCATCAGCCATTGTATTACCTGAATCATTAGCAATTGTATTATCTACATCATCAGCCATTGTATTACCTGAATCATTAGCAATTGGATTATCTACATCATCAGCCATTGTATTACCTGAATCATTAGCAATTGTATTATCTACATCATCAGCCATTGTATTACCTGAATCATTAGCAATTGTATTATCTACATCATCAGCCATTGTATTACCTGAACATTAGCAATTGTATTATCTACATCATCAGCCATTGTATTACCTGAATCATTAGCAATTGTATTACCTACATCATCAGCCATTGTATTACCTGAATCATTAGCAATTGTATTACCTACATCATCAGCCATTGTATTACCTGAATCATTAGCAATTGTATTACCTACATCATCAGCCATTGTACTACCTGAACATCAGCTATTGTATTATCTACATCATCAGCCATTGTACTACCTGAACATCAGCTATTGTATTACCTGTAACAACATCCCCTGTATGAACCTCAGGACCACGAACATGGTGTAGTTGACAGAGAAGGCGATGATGACCCCCAGGACCGATGACGTGTAGAGGGTGAAGAGCATGACGGGAAGACGGCCGTACCGGTCAGCCAGATCCCCAAACACGAGACCACCGATGGTGACGCCAGAGAAATAGACGGTCGTTGCCAGATTGACAAGGTAAGCATCGGAGCAGACGAGATCGAACTGGAATCAATAGCGAAATGTTTGATTAAATTCAATGCGTACACTAGTTTCAACTTACGTGATCTGAACACACAGTCTTGTGGGAATGAAAAGCACTCCCACTTAATTTCTTAATTTGATTTTTTTTTACACTTTAGTCAAACAAATTGTATGCTTCACTCACTGATTCACTAATCAGAATTTTTAATAGAGTCCTAGACTACCCGTTATCTAGTTAGATAACTGTGGGTTTCGGGGGTCATCCATAAATGACATCACGTCTGTCAGCACTTATCATCCCAAAATAACCAGACCCCACATTAAAAAAGACGTTTTTTATATATTTTAAAAACTCTACTAAACTCTACTTCACCTGCCCAGTGTCCCGCCAAGTCTCAGACATGTTTGAATTAAAAAAAAAAAAACGATTCCGGTCGAGCATGGCTCTGACCACACTATCCCTTCATATGCTGAGAACATAGAAACAGGTGAACTCTACTTCACCTGCCCTGTGCCCCGCGAGGTCCTGATAGTCAACCTTATCATTCACATGTAGGCCTTAAGAAAAAAAAAAATTGAAAACATTGTTGTAAAAAGAAAATAATTCTTTTTACTATTACTTAAGTCATTGTTCTAAACTTTTATAATTAATGTGGTTAATCTACCTATGAATATATCAATAAATTAATTAACGGCTTTAAATTAGTTTGTAATTAACAGTGTGTTTAAAACAATATTTACCACCCAAAATCCTATTTTACAACTCTACACATAATGCAGATTCTCCCCAATAACAAATCAGAAAAACAAACAAAAAAATTAGTTATCAAAAGTCACTATTCAGTCAAAGTTAAGCCATTGTTCTTTAAAATTAATGTGGTTAATCTACCTATGAATAAATCAATAAATTAATTAAAGTCTTTAAATAAATTTGTGATTTACAGTCTGTCTGAAAACAAAAATCGTTCTCTACCTACATACTATTTTACAGTTCTCCATATAGCGTAGAGATTCTACAGTAGTCAATCAGACAAACAAAAAAAACAACAACAAAAAAAAAACAAATAAATATTCAAACATGTAAACAAACTTGAGTTTTAGTAGTATATATAGATTTCTAGCTTTTCAGTTGTGGATGACCCATAAAGTGCATCTAATAAAACTAATATACAATCTTTATAATAATAATTAGGTGAAAAAAAGGAAATAAAACTAATTTGTCTTCTTAAATAAAATCAATTTTTGCCACACAAAAAGGCGGTTTCACGAGCAACCAATACTTATTTTGTTTGCTTTAAAACCCTATCCGACAACTGGTCGACTAGCTGATTCAGACCCATTGGCACTTAATCTTGTTGTCTCCACTTTTATTATTGAATATTGGAATCGTTCAATTAAATTGCATTGACTAATAAAATGTCTAACTAGATTAAAATTTAAATAACCTGCATAGTCATTGGAGACTAATGTTTCTGGAAAATATGAACGAAATCGATACATTAGAAAAGGGTTAAAATCGAGTTACAAGATTTGCCACAAATCCTCCACAAACAAACGAACAAACAGACATTTATAAACTTAAAAAAGCTCATAAAAATGAAAGACTGACCTGGCTGACGATGTTCCACTCGTTGTGTACAGGAGTGTACATCCACTGTCCCGCCGTACACAGTACAGTCTCGTTACGGCCGTCAGAGAAGTAAAAAGTAGTCGAGCATTGCGAGTGGGACGTGTTAGTCACGTCATTGGTCAGGTTTCCTTCAAAGATTGCCGCTAAAAAATAAAATATTAAAACCTTACAGTTCCTGACGTAAATGGTGACTTGTGTAAAGGAAAACTTCCACAAACTGCACAAGTAAACGATGACTCTCATTTATTGACACACTGACCATTAAATGAGAACTTAATGAATTCCCCACACTTACCATAAAATTATGACTTGATGAATTCCCAACACTAACCATTAAATGAGGACTTAATGAATTCCCAACACTAACCATTAAATGAGGACTTAATTGCCACACACATTAAATAATGACTCACACGAATACTCACATGAGTTCCCCACATTGGCCATGCACGTGTGGGGTACCGGTGACCCGTGGAAGGCCATGATGACGTGATGAAAGACCAGGCTAATGTAGGAAGACGCTATCAGGACGTGGGCCATCAACTGGAACTTGCCACGTCCTCCTAGAGCGGTCATCAGGTTCTCCAGGCTGTCCACACTGTACGTCATGGTGGGCAGTGCTGGGATATGTGACTTTGGTGGACTGAAGTTGACTTTGATTGACTTTAGTTGACTTTGGTGGACAAGTTGACTTTGGTGGATTCACCTTGACTGAATTTGACTTTAGTTGACTTTGGTGAATTTAGTTGACTTTGATTGACATAAGTTGAGTTTGGGTGAATGGTTAACTTTGGTTGACTTATGTTGACTTTGGTGGACTAAAGTAGACTTTGGTGGATTTAAGTTGACTTTCATTGACATCACTTGAATCAATGAACAGCTTATTTTGACTAAGTTGATTTTGAATAAAGGGTTGGTTAGGTTTGACTTCCTATGACTGGCTAATTGATAGTTAATCCACTTTGACTTAAGTTGACTTTGGTTGACTTATCAGACTTGACTTTTGTTTGAGTGACTTTAACAGTCTGGAGACCTAAAGTTTAACGTGGTTGACGTTGTACTATGTTCTTGACTTTTCACGTTGATGAAAGTTGCTGAATGGATGACTGCTTGACTTTTTACGTTGATGAAATTTGCTGAATGGATGACTGCTTGACTTTTTACGTTGATGAAATTTGCTGAATGGATGACTGCTTGACTTTTCACGTTGATGAAAGTTGCTGACTGGATGACTGCTTGACTTTTCACGTTTAATGAAAGTTGCTGACTGGATGACTGCTTGACATTTGCAACACGACAATAACCCTGGTTTATTTTGAAAAATTCTGGTTGACTGCGGTAATACTTGACTTGTGACTGGCGGTCACGGTTAATGACTTGGTCAAGAATAGATAAATGTCTAAATTTAGATTTAGTTTTTACCTCTAGATGACGTTGTTCAATTCAAATTTAAAAGATGCAGGTGGACAAGTAAACAGATGCTGTCTTAATTAAACTTAATTAGTTAAATTTCTGATGACTCAAGAATATTTTAAATAATTTGTGTTGACTTTATGTTAAAGTGGTCAATTTATTTAGCATTTTGTAACTTATGATTGTTTGACTCTAATTTCATGAAACTGACATTGTTTGACTGGGTTGTTGATTGAGAGCCTTCAGTTTTTTAATAACAGACCTGGAGTTGTCGTCACTGTTGTGGTGACCACGATCTGAAGTAGGTCAGCACATCACGTCAAAACAGACAAGAATTCCAGAACAAATTCTACATAAAAACACACTAAACCTTTATATGCTGCAGAGGCTTAGCGAGGGGGGGGAGGTACATATGTCCCCGGGCGCCGACCTTAGGGGGCGCCCAAATGGGTTGGAAAAAACAAATTAAAATTTAATTTTAGCTGCAGTTTTGCATTATAAATAGAAAAATATATATATAATGTATGGGGGGGGGGGTGCAAATGGAAAGTTTGAGGGGGGTGCAAATTGAAAGTTTGAGGGGAGGTGCAAATGGAAAGTTTGAGGGGGGGGGTGCTAATTGAATGTTTGATGGGGGGGGGGGGGTTGCAAATTGAAAATTGAAAGGTTGTTTCCGAGGGGGGCGCCAAATTGAAAGTTTGTCCCCGGGCGCCGGGAAGGCTCGCTACGCCTCTGATATGCTGAAATTACAGAAACAGGTTAACTTCACTTGCTCTGTGGATAGTCAGGTTCGAAAAGGAGACTTTACTTTTACTACATAGGACAAGATGGCACATTCAATGTAAATAGATCTATATTCTCACTGAACTGAATATACTTTCTGCTGACTGCAAACGTTTGCAAACGGATCGTTTATTTTCTCTACAACATTTAAAGCCTGTGACCAACATTATGTGAACATGATGTGTTTAAATAGCACAGAGGCGTAGCGACCCTTCCCGGCGCCAGGGGACAAACTATTCGATTTGCAACCCCCACCTCAAACTTTCGATATGCACCCCCCTCAACGTTTCAATTTATTTTTCCAACCCATTTTGGCGCCCCCTAAGGTCGGCGCACGGGGACAAATGCCCCCCCCCCCCTCGCTACGCTACTGAAATAGCAAAAAAAACAACAACAAAAAACAGTTCGCGTAAACGCTATTAAATTACGATAGTTATGAAATCAATAAACTCTACTTCATCCCGCACAGAGAGGAAGAGAGGGATGGAGGGTGAGGGATAGAGAGACGGGGAGGGAGAAATGCGGACCACATGCCAACATACAAATGAACTTTAAGCTAATTAGCACGTGAATTAATCAACTAGAAACAAACTACACTTTCACAAAAATCATCTGAAAGAACTGACCAAACATGACCAACACTTACGTTTCATTGAAATATTCAATCCACTAGTGAAATATACACACGCAGTGTCTTGATAAACGTGGATTAGCTTACCATATACAGCAGAAAACATGTGACATGCTATAAATAAAACATCTGTTCTTAGTATCAGAATTGTCAGTTAATGGTTTGTCTGAAACTTACCATGAATGTAATGACTTAGTTAAATGGCCTAGTTTTCAGACACGTGATGGTTTCACCTTAACACTTACACGGCTGTCCATGAAATATGACATTAGATGTCCAAAAATGATGACACGATTTTGTTTTGACATTTTTTACTCTCCTTCGTCACAAAATGTCTGATCTCTTCATGCCCATCTTAGTGATACGTCAGGCTACTGCTAGACAGGGCAACCTACCAATGTGACACGACAACCTACCAATGTGACACGACAACCTACCAATGTGACACGACAACCTACCAATGTGACACGACAACCTACCAATGTGACACGACAACTTACATCTAGACATGACAACCTATCAATGTGACGCGACAACCTACCACACGACAACCTACCAATGTGACGCGACAACCTACCACACGACAACCTACCAATGTGACACGACAACCTACCAATGTGACACGACAACCTACCAATGTGACACGACAACCTACCACACGACAACCTACCAATGTGACACGACAACCTACCGCTAGACACAACCTACTAATGTGACACGAAAACCTACCGCTAGACACAACCTACCAATGTGACACGACAACCTACCAATGAACACGACAACCTAAAATGTGACACGACAAACTACAACTAGACACGACAACCTACCGCTAGACAGGACAACCTACTAATGTGACACGACAACCTACCAATGTGACACGACAACCTACCACTAGACACGACAACCTACCAATCTGACACGACAACCTACCACTAGACACGACAACCTACCACTAGACACGACAACCTACCAATCTGACACGATAACCTACCACTAGACACGACAACCTACCGATGTGAAAACTTACTCCCTTGAACCTCCACCACCTTGACTATCAACATGCAAAACATTTCACCAACAGATTAACAAAACAACCTACTCACCAAACAACAAAATTTATAAGAATACCCAAATCCACAAAACGTGTTGACAGTCTAATAAACCATCTGACATCCATCTCTAGCTGATATATACATTCAGCACTCATGTGATTAAAAGACAACAGCTGACACTTTAAGGGTAAAAAAATAGAATCGTTAAACGACGTAATGAAGCATCATTAATCTAGTGTTAATGTCATTCAAAATCATTTGTACAACAACAAAAAACAACTAATTATCTTCATTAAGGAATGTCGGGGGCGGTGCAGTCTAATAGAAGGCCTAGAGTTCGAATCTCGGTTCGGATTCGTAACTGCAGAACGTTGCTGAGTCCACCCAGCTCTAAGGGGTACCTGTCTCACTGAGCACAGTGCTGACCACACCATCCCTCCATGGCCACAAACGAGTAAACATTTTATTTTTATTTTAAAAAACAATTTCGTGGAGTAATTTTATTTATGCATCAGGCAACACCTTAACCACCATTTATCGATGTGTACTTTTGGGCTAGGTTAAAATATAGAACAACCAAATTTCAGGACTTGTAAAATTACACCACTGAATGAGATTATTTTTGTATCACGTGTGTGTGTATGCATGTGTGTGTGTGTATGTGTGTATTTATATATGTGTGTCTGTGTGTGTGTGTTTGATTTTAAGAAAACTGAACCAATAGCCAATAGCAGTAACTTGTCGTATACATGTGTTATTTTTTGTGTTCATTATGCGTTGTATCCCCCCCCACCCACCCCCCCCCCCTCCCACTCCCCAACACACCCAACTCCCACGTACCTGTATTAATACATATGCATTTTGTGTTAATTAATCGCTGGAGAAAATAGTTTCAGTATTTCTTCCAGACTTTTTTCCTCCGGGGGGGGGGGGGGGCGGACACTAGTAAAAATATATGTTTACTATATAAATTCCATCTCGTTCGGGTGGGGGGGCTTAACCCCCCCCCCCCCCCCCCGAAGGGATGCCTGGAAGAAACTCTGAATAGTTTTAGTGACTAACATGTGTATTTGGTGTTATTTTATCTCTGAAGACAATCGTTGTATATTTAGTGACCAACAAGTGCATTTGGTGTTAATGTGTTAATTATTCTCTGGACACAATAGTTTTATTTTTAGTGACTAACACTGTGGCGTGTCGTTAGAACATGCATGACAAATACGTCATCAGCTTTCACAGAAATGTGAGGTAATCGGTGCCTGCTCCATTCGTTCGGGATGTTATAGTACATGGCCTTCTGCTACGTGTCTGCTGCGGTGCTGTATATATATATATATATATATATATATATATATATATATATATATATATATATATATATATATATATATATATATAGTGTGTGTGTGTGTGCGCCTTTTCCCCATCTCCACCCCCCTACCCCCATCATAACAAAAGCCTGCCTACGCCTTTGCCTTCAGTGACCAGAGCAGTGTTTATTCCAGACTTTTTTCTCCGGGGGGGGGGGGGGGGGAGGGGCACTTAAAATTTTCGGGGGGACGGACGAAAATTTTCGGGGGGGGGGGGCGGTTCCATTTCGTTCGGGGGGCGGTAGAGATGCCTGGAAGAAACTCTTGACCTGAGGTAAAAGACAAAGTTAAATTCCACAACAATCTCTGGTCGAGTTGGTTGTTGCACATCATCTCATTACGCGCTGGAACCCATGTATATGGAATTTGGTCTATTTACGCTACGCCAGTTTTTGTTGACCACCGCTAACTTGTTATAACGGTGTTATCTTCACCACAGCTAACAGGATATAACGGTGTTATCTTCACCACTACAAACTTGTTATAATGGTGTTTTGCTCACCACTACAAACTTGCTATAATGGTGTTTTGTTCACCACTACAAACTTGTTATAATGGTGTTTTGCTCACCACTACAAACTTGCTATAATGGTGTTTTGCTCACCACTACAAACTTGCTATAATGGTGTTTTGTTCACCACTACAAACTTGTTATAATGGTGTTTTGCTCACCACTACAAACTTGTTATAATGGTGTTTTGCTCACCACTACAAACTTGTTGTAATGATGTTTTGTTCACTACTACAAACTTGTTATGATGGTGTTTTTTTCATCTCAACAAACTTATTATAAAGGTGTTATGTTCACCACTTGTAATAGTGGAGCTTTGTTCACCACTATAAACCTGTAATAATATTATGGTGTTTAAAAAAAGTCCACCTTCTAATATTTTGAATAACCTCTCACATTTAATTCTAAATTTTAGTTTGTAACAGATATTTAATCAACAAATAAAATAAAAAATAAAATAATCTTGTGAAGTCGTACGGTTTTGGAGCAGTTGAGGAAATGTAGTTGGTTAGGCTTTCAATGTGTTTTCTTTCTGAAACTAACTCTAGCAACAATATAATAACTTAAAGACGATTGAGATTGCATACAACGTTAAAATTAATTCTTAACTAGGGCTTGAACTTGGCAAACAATTAAGAATGACAACAGCCTTGGACTAATTAGGTGTGAAAAATGAGAGGATGGTAAAGAGTTAATGAGAAGATGGGACGGTAATGGGTTAATCAAATGACGGGAAATTGATGTGTTAGAATGTTTATTAACTAATCAGTGAGGAGTGTTATGAAAGGCTAATGAGGGATAACTGTTACATAACTAGGTAAATGACACACATTACAGAGTCTTCTGACAGCTATGCATACATATAACAGGAGTTTCACTACCAATAAATTATACGTCAAGATGGCTTATCAAAATTTCCCTTGTTTGAAGCTATCACTTGGCTCAATCGACTCAGTCATGTATTGTAAATTTACACATCAGTTTGCCTTGCCATGTTCGCTTTAGTACTACAGTTGTCATCATCGGCTTGTGAGGACTGATACAGGTTTATAATAGTAATTTATTCTTTCTGACATTGCCTTTCATTCACTGACAAGGATTTATGTATACATTAAGCAAAACGTTTAATTACAACTTTAAAAACCTGAAAATGTAATTAATTAATTGATAATCTGATGTCTAGCGGAAATGATTTTGTGATAAAGAAAAATATTTTTTTTTTTTTTTTGTTGATATTTTGATATAAAGAAAAATCCTAATTTATAAAAGCCCAATGTGCGCACATCTCTCTCTCTCTCTCTCTCTTTCTCTGTCCGCAAAAAATTTTCGCCGGACATCACGTCAGAATCGGCAGCGATATATCGAGAATTTTTTACGGACTTTTGTTGAAAATAATATGTTAGATGTTTTAAATGTATAACCACAATTTTATTTAAAGAAGAAAAATAAAAATTTAAGGCGTATTCGAATGTAGAGAAACAGTATTATTTATGCAACCGGAAAAGCATTAATATATGTGAAAAAGAACGCATAAAACTGTGACGTCACTATTGCTTATACATTAACTATTGACGTCATCTGCCAAAATAGCGAAGATGTTAGTGTACATTAAACCACGCAGGTGGTGCGGGTTCGAGACACACCAAGTTAACTTGGTTAATGTATTTATTTTTATTATGCTCGGGCTAAACTTAAAAAAAAATTCTTTTAGGAATCTAGATCTAGATCTAGATTGTCGGGTGTCCGATAGGGCACTTCCCGGCGCCGCAGGCGCTTCAAATTTGGCAGGATCTTGCCTTGGGGCGACAGAACACGGGGGCCGGTTGGCCGAAAAGTCTACGATGAGGGGGTCAAAACTGACCTCGACTGACCGGTACCTTATATGAGCTATAAATCGAAAAAAAATGTCCACGGATTAAACCTCTTCATAACTCTTGAGGTCGTAGACCGACCCTCGGGCGAATTAATTAAGCATGCAAATTCTCAATGTTTTCGAAAGCCTAAGCGAAGCTGGGCAGCATGCCTAGTAATATTATAAGAAGGATGGATACTATGTGGGTTAAATGAAACGCTTCAACTTAAATTTTTTGCAATTTAAACTTCAAACAATCCATTTTCAAATATTATTTCCCAGAGTTTATTTAACGTTTAAAAATTATTTTGTATTGTATACAGTTACAAATAAATTAAATAATGTGTACAAACAATAATTGATAAGAAAAAAAAATAAAAAATATCCTAATGCTGGATCAAAAGCTTCTATGAATTCAGTGATTGTTAATTTCTTCCATAGTTTTTGAATTTTCCCCATCGGTTACCTTCCCTAAATTAACCCCCTGGGTTATCTCCCTTGAATTCCTCCCATTCATATTCTCCCCTGGTGCTCCCCCATTGGCCACGCCCCCCTCTTTAATGATGACCAGCTCCTGGACCAGGTCCGGCAACACTTTGTTGTGGGTCTCTGGAAGCGGAAGTAGCACTAGAACGGCCAGAATTGACAGCAGACCGAAGACAAGCACGGCATCGATGTCCCAGAGTGCCAGCATCTGTGTGAGAGGGGGGGGGGGGGGTGAAGGTTGGGTTTGTTCCGTTAAAAATACGTGATCGTAATACAAGTTTTTAGAACGTTACTTATTATTGTTAACACATTGTTAGAGCTCACTCATAAGTAGAATTAAAATTTTCAATTTTAATGACTCAGTCATTTGAGACATGTTTATTCAAAAAAAAAAAGATTCCTGTTTATGATTTAGAAAACTTAAATATATTAATTCAAAAGTGTTTTCAAATACAATGCTAAAATATAACTTTTCATGGTTGAGAGAATTTAAATATATATAATCATTAGTGATAATTCACTGACATTTGAGGTCAGTGATTAGAGTGGAAAGGGGGGGGGGGGTGTTTGTGGCATCACTCAGCTATGATCTAGTACGGAAAACTAATAATAATATCATAACAATTTAAAAAAAAAACATTTATTAACGCCTCAAAGTTCTAGTAAACGAACCCCCCCCCCCCACTCCGCGGACGAATAAGAAAATATAGTTTATATTAAAAATATATCCTTGAACAAATGTCATGTGTCGCCTCCTCCCTCTTCCCCTCTCCCCAAATGGAAATTTTACGAGCGCCTCACCCCCCCCCCCCCCCACACACTCCTTTTTATGTTTCAAGTATCCCCCCCCCCGAAGAAAATTGTTTGAAAGAAACCCTAGAAGAGAAATAACCCCTGAGACTTACCCAATAGTTCAGCTGTGGTGCCAAAAAATTACCAAACTGTGCCCAAAAACTGCAGGCTCCAATACTAATATTTCTGTAACACAAAATACAATGTAGGTTCCTGAAATTTAAAAAAAGAAGTAGCCTACCTCCATTACCCCTCCACCCACCAACTAACTAAAAATATAAACATTCATTGAACTCTTACTAAATCATTCTTAGCCTTAACCATATCATTGTGTTGAATACCCACTTTAAAGATAAAAAAAAATTATATTACATGTGTCAAAAAAAAAAGATAAGCGATGATATTTTAAAGCTAGAGACTACCTTAGAACTGTTGGAAAGTTTTCAGAAGTATAAAAATAGATTATGGTGTATGCGCAGCCTATTGCGCATCTTCCGAATGTAGCCAAAGCAGATGGTAGAAGAAAACGATCTGAAGTTAAAGCAAAAATTGTATTTCATATTACATGGACTATTTAGAACTTAAATCGAACTCATATAATATAATGTTATTT